CCAAACAATTATATATTATCTAACCAAGATAATTATTATTTTAAAATAATAATAAAAAGACTTATGTATAATTAAAAAAATTAAAATTAAAAATATATTTTAATTAAAAATCTAAGTTTTAAACACTGGACAATGCCATATCCACCTTTATCAACAACAAAATCAATCGGATTAGTCGACGATCATATCAACCATTATCAACGCCGCCGCCATATCAACCATTATCAACGATCTCCACCCATCAAACCACCGTCAGTGGCGGACCTGGCCTTGTGCCTGGTGGGTCAAGTGACTCACCAGGGCCCAAAAAAAAATCTAAGATTTAAAAAAAAAAAAAAAAAAAAATTGGTTTCTGGGAAATGGGGTTTCATGGAGTAGATAAAGCTCAAAAGTTGCTTAAATGGAGGAGAGAGAAAATATCGGGCAAGCTCACGAGCTACTTCAATGGAAGAGAGACATTGAAGCTGCTTCAATGGAAGAGAGAGAAAATGTCGGGAAAGGGAAACAGAATAGGAGAGAGAAAATTAGGGTAAGTGTGAGAATTTGAAAAGACGATATGTGAGATGGAATTTGAAAGTTTGAGAGGAAGAGATATCAGGGATGGCCATGGGAGCTAGGTGATACGAAGGAGATAGAAGATAGGTGGATTTATTTGATATATTGTTTTCTTTTTCCTTCTTTTCATATACATCATTATTACTTTATTAGAATACTGTGCTAGGTGATGCTCTAAAATTGATATACCCTGAAATGAAATGATATTAAATAGACTTGCTTATCTGCAAAAGCAAGAGTACTTCTCCTGATTTCAAAATGTGTCAGTCTCTCAATTTTTAGATCGCTTTCCAAACTATTGAGCCAATCTGAATATCGTTCATTATGCACTACTTTCTGCATTTTCCAAAACATAATCTTGTTTTTTTTTTTTCAAGTATTAGCATGCTTCTTTTCTTTCTTTGGCTCTTAAAAAAATGAAGCAAATATCCTTAACAGTTTGTGTATTCCTCGTGTAGTTTCAATGGCCACAGTTTGTGTTAGAGTCTTCGATTCTTGCTGTGATGTCGATATAATTGAGCTGGACTTAATTTTGTAAGGGCTTGGATTTGCATGAATTTGACCCAAATACAAATCCTAATGACTGTATTATCCAAACAGGCCCAAATGGGAATTTCAAATGAAATCCGCATATCCAAACAGGCCATAAGAAAATTCCCAGAAATTTCATTTGGGAAATAATTTCCCGTGAAATACAACTTCTTATGGAAAATTATTTCCCTTATCAACCAAACGAGTTATTACTTCATACTGCTGTTTTGTGTCCTCTTGTTGCCTTCGATTCTAGTCCTGCTTGCTTAATGCTTATCAACAACACTTCTGTTTTGTGTCCTCTTGTTGAAGATCATATGCATTTCGCCCTATTTCTTACATTGTTGTTGTTTTTGCGAGTGTTTTGACCTAAGTTTCGTATATTTAGTTGGTTGCATATACTTAATATTTAGTTCTTTAATGTTATTTAGCTTCTGAGAAAGAGGGTACAAGAACAGAGGATATATGGTTTCTGGGTTTTTGAATGTATTTTTTAGTACTATTATTTGGTTGTTTGGTAAAAAATTTTTTTTTACATATTTGGTTATCGATTGTGACTCACCAGTCGGAAATTCCTGGGTCCGCCACTGACCACCGTCGTCGTTGAATTCCTAAATTTTCAACACAATCAACAGTAGAATTTTATCAAATTCAACAAAAACCATACAATTTTGAAGAATTAGAGGAGAGAGAAAGAGAAAATCTCTGTAGCGTCAACCATGGCTTCCGAGTAATCAAATTTCAAAGCTTACTACAAGATGATGAAATACTCTTAAAATTTTCCCTAAATTCCTAAGATAGAGTTGAAGGTATAGTAATGGTGATGGAATTTCAATATAAAGTTGTAAATTTTTAGCAATGGAAGGAGAAAGGGGGAGGTCGGGAGGTGGGAGGAGAGAGAAAATGTCTGTGTGACAATGACAGAGAGGAGAATGATGTGAGTGAATGGGGAATAATAATCTGATTGTTTGGGAGTAGTAGATGAAAGGTATCTGATTGTTTGGGAGGAGTAGGTGGGTATCGCCGCACGAATTATTCTGTTATTTTATGAAGGAAAAATTGCGAGGAATGTCCTTTTAAGAAGTCGACCTTGTGAAGAAGGTCTTTTTATGAAAAATGTGGCACAAAAGGTCCTTTTATGGACTTTCGGTTGTGAGGAGGGCGTTTGACCAAACTCCGGCAAAAAAAAAAGTCACGTGCTGTTTTAGATTTTTTTTCTTTTTTTCCCTTTCCCTGTTCTTCTGCCGGAACAGCCAGACCCATCACCACCCACGGTTATTCCCGGAACCCCCTACCTCCGTCACCTCCTGGCATACCCTGCGCCAGCGCCTTAACCCTGACCTTCGTCGTGCCGGTGTTGACGCTCCCCTCCCATATCCCCTAAAATCACCTAATTCCGACCTCAAACCCACCATCATCACAGCCCGAAATGCTTCAAAAAGCCCAACCCCACCGCAAAACCTTCCAAACGGCCATCCCCCACCATCAAAACCCTAGCGTCTAAGGTTTTATGAAAAGAAACATAATTATAACTTATATATACAAATTCCAGCATTATTAAAACTTATAAAATTGCTGTAATTTAGTTTAAAAACATTAATTTCAATAGTCTTAATCAACCACAATCAAATTCTATCATAAACATTAATTTAGAAACCTAGGGTTTTCAAGTTGGGGCTTTTTAAATTAAAATTAAACCTGAAAATTTATATACAAAGTACTTATTATTGAACATCCTAAAATCATCACAAAACCCAAAAACAACAATTAGATTTAGGCTAGATTTAATTAAAAACAAAAACAATAATAATAATTTTTTTTTGAAGACCACCGGCGCACACAACCACCTAGGTTGGCTGCTGCCGCGCCGCCTGGTGGCTGCTGCTGCCGGTGAAGGCTGGCGGTGGTGGCGTGTGGTGACCGGCCGATGTGTGCGGTGGTGTGTGGTGGTGATTAAAATAAAATAAATAAATAAAGGGGAAGGGGAAAATTTAAGGGGAAAAGAAAATAAGAGGAGAGAGAGAGAGTTTACCTTTGGGTGCACTCCACCTTAGGCATATGATGGGTATTTATACCCCCTCTCAATATCCCTCCTACTTAAAATTCCTTTACTACCCTTAATGATCTCTTTCCTAGTCAAACTAGTATTTTGACTTTCCTTAAATACCATTGACTTTAAAAATTATCTTTTTATAAAATAATATGCCCCAAGATTTTTAAATCATAAAATAAAATATTTTCAAGATTATTAAATAATTAAAATTAAACTTTTAAATTAAAATAATTCTTTTTAAATTAATAAAAACCATAAACAATTCATTTCGAATTATTTAAATACTTTAAGAAATACTTATTTAAATTAAAATAAGTATAAAAATACGAGGTATTACAATTATATGCTGCATTGCTATGGTTAAGAATTGGCCAGGGGAATGTGATATTGATGAAAGATGATCAATTTCTTTTTTGATGTTGTTGTGTATTGAATGTTTCGCAATTAAAATGAATTGAGTCCCTACAATGTTCTCAGTGATATGCTGATTGAGAAAACAACCATGTTGGAAGGTGGAAAAGGGCATTTATATGGTTGGTTACTGAGTCCCCCCTATTTCATGCCCCTTGTTTATGTTTTTTACCAAATGATGAAGGGGGACTCATTTGAATTGGAATTTCTTATGGTTGATTTGCTCCATCTTAGTTCCTTTGAACTTGGTGTAGAGGTAACATCATAATGCAATGTTTTTTATATAAGCATATCCTTCCTGATGGTATTTTGAACTTGGTCTTACTACCATAACTTGCTAGAGTTTCCAAAAGCTTTATTACATAAATTTAGCAACATTATTTTCAAAGCATGACCCCCCCTTTTACATGACTGCCTTACAAATATCTACTCTGCATGATCAAAATACACATAATTAAAGCTTTAAAAACATAACAACTTAAAAAATAACTAATGACTAATGAGCACCTAAGGTTATGTGTGGTAGTCACTGTGTTCACATGTTGGTCCCCTTCACCCTCTGTTCAATCAGCATCCACTTCCATGTATGCATCTTCCTAAACCTGGGCATCGTGCCGTGCTGTGTCGCCGCGGGCCGTGCCTGGCGGGCCACGGGCTCCAGCGTGTCGTGCCGGTCGTGCCGCCGTGCCCAACACCTCGTGCCGTGCCGTGCAGGCCATTTTCACAGGCCAGTCCACGGCCTGGCACGGCCCTCGTGCCTGGCGGGCTCCTGCCGTGCCGGCCACGTGCTGGCTGCGGGTTGGGCAGTTTCAAGATTTTTTTTTATTATTTTTTATTTATTAATGTTTACACTATATAAATAAATATATATATAAATATATAATTTATATATAAATATATATACTTATATTTATATTTATATATATATATTTAGGGCGTGCCGGAGCGTGCCTGGGCGGGCTGGCACGGCGGGCCAAGGGGCGGGCTCGTGCCGTGCCGTGCCGTGCCGTGCCGAAAAGTCCAACTCTTGTTCGTGGCACGGCCCACGGCACGCCGGCGGGCCATCGTGCCGTGTGCCGGGCCACCACCCGGGCCGTGCCGTGCCTCGTCGAAGGGCGGGCCGTGCCGGGCGGCACGCGGGCCTACCCGGCCCGTGCCCAGCTTTACATCTTCCCCTGTAGTATCTGTTGTTGGAATGACCATAGTGTTCAAATAAGTAATAGCTTAGTGTATAAGTTCTCTGGGAACATGTAGATACTTTGGCAGAATACCTAATCTGTCCAGCTTTTTCTTCTTCATATGTGGAGGTTGGAAGTTATTTCCCCCTTACTTTGTGAGGATTTGAATCATAACTGACTGAAGTGTAAGCCATATGTACTTGTTCACCTTTGTCTCAAAAGCATTGTATGGCTTTAAATAACCCTAGGTCAAACACATTCAAGTCAGGTGACTATGCTGGCTGGTACACCATTTCAATGTTGAAACCATTTGCATGACATGCATCAATGAATTCGTGATCTTTGGGAATCTGATGAGGCCTTGCATTATCCCATTGTATTTTGATGTTCTTTGGTAAACTGGCTGGCCATTGTTCCTGTATTGCTGGAATGATGTGTTCCATTAACATGTTTCTGATTGCATCTTTGTTCACATTCTGCATAGCCTTTGTTTCCCATGTACCAGCATCTCTGTTCTTGCTTTTCTTCTTTGCCATCTGTTTTGTGACAAATGGAAATATTCCATACTTGTCATCATGCAATAGAGTCCCATTCCTTGCATATAGAGGTTTCCCAATCATACCCATAAACATTGCCTTGACTTTGTATCTCTTTGATTGTTGGCACCTGTATGGATCTTCTTCTTTGGGTAGGAGGTAGAATTTTCTTGTTTCTTGGTTCAAGTAGAACCATTTTTCATCAATACGTATGGTTTGTTGCATATCTGCAAATTTTGGGTCCCCATGAGCTGGAATTGGATTGATGTGACTTAATACCCACTTCAATCTTGCAATTTTGTGGTTGGAAGTCAAAGCTAGATGGTTTGGACTTGTGTGAGTTCTCAGTCTGCCCTTCTTCCTTAATCTGTGAATTGTTGAATGTGATACATTCAGTGCTCCAGCGTAGCTTCTCTCTGTTGTCCTCTTGTATAAGGGGACAGATTGTAACCACTCATCAGAATATTCTTTGGGTTTTGGCCCTGTTCTACCAAGTTTTTTTGACCTGACATCAATGACATTCCCTTGGGCTATTTGTTTCTTAATCTCTGCATGTAATCTGGACATTGTACTTCTATAAATGTTGAATTTCCTTGCTTGTTGGGATAAAAAGCCCCTTGGAATTTCACCCCCTTGCATTTGTAACAGAATTGCATCAACAATTTATCTTTTCTGCAGCATGGTAAGGTCTCTCCTTTTCTCTCCTTGATGAGTATGCCCATTCTGCATCATATTGCTCATCTGAATCAGTGCTTGTATCCGTAGAATCACACCATCCCCCTTCCGCTTCTTCCCCTAGTAATTGTTCAATCCCAAAAAAATCTTCTTCAACATCAATATCCATTGATAGATGCTAACTTGTTTACCCAGGTTTGAAGATGGTGATGAAGTGGAGGATGCAATTTTTTGGACAACTCGAACTGAACCAGCCTTTTGTAGGTGTGAAGTTGATGATGCTGCCCCTAATTTAGCACTAATTATAAGTAAGAAGGTAGTTTGTAGGTATTGAAGGTAGTTTTAGAAATTAACTAGTGCTAGCTTTTGATGTTGAAGATGATATAAAGTCATTAGAAGGTAGAGAAAGTTGTGTAAAAATTTGGTTAACAATTGCTGTCTTTGATATGAACATATGGGCCTCATGTATTGATAGCTTCAAGAATTTATTCACGTATATATTTTATGTTATATCAATATATTAACACATGTTCATTTCCATAATAGTAGATGACCATTTTCAAACTAATATATGTTCATTTATGTATTAATAGATGTTGTAATACCCCGTATTATTATATGTATTTTAATTTAAATAAGTATTGTTAGGTTTTCAGCAATTCTACACAATAGGAATTACTTAAAATTGGTGGAACAAAACCTAAGTACTGTATAATTCAATCAAATTATACAATAATCAATACTAGTCAAAGTATTACAATCCAAGCCCAAATATCAAAGTAATTAGAAACTTACAAGGAAAACTCTAATGTAAAAGATACTAAAACTTGCCTCTACTCCAAGCCATTGAAATCACCAAGAACATGAGAATACCAAGGACCACGTGAGTCTTCAATACCGGATACTTGTCTAAGGCGTGTAAACACTTTCCTAATGTGATTATTTCTCCCACCACGATGCTTGGGTTGAACCGGAAAGTCACTTTGAGATATAATAGACAACACTACATTCTTTGCACTTAGATTTGTAGCAAGATGATCAAATTCTCAAAATAAACTTAATTGATAGAGTATTTCAAGAAGAGATTGCAAGTTTCTCGGTGAAATTGTGAAGAAAAGTGAAAAACTTAGAGAGGAAAAACAGAGAGAGCAAAAGAATGTATCTTGTTATTCTTTTAATTTCGCAATTAAAAGAACAATCGAAACTGCAACTGCCAGGGCCGCTGGCGCGGCAACCAGTAGGAGCGGGGGCTCCTGCTGAAGGAGCGGGCGCTCCTCAAGGCCCCGCGGGCGCGGACAGGGAAATCTCAGATTTCACCCAACTTTCTGGAGATGCCTGGCGCGCCCATGCCGCGGCTTCCCAGACGCGGCCTCTCCACATAAAGGAGAGGGCTCTCTTCTACCACATTCTAAATTCCCAACAAGTATTTCTTAAAGTATTTAAATATATAGAAATGAATTATTTATGGTTTTTATTAATTTAAAAAGAATTATTTTAATTAAAAATTTATTTTTAATTATTTAATAGTCTTGAAAATATTTTATTTTATGATTTAAAAATATTGGGGCATATTATTTTATAAAAAGATAATTTTTAAAGTCAATGGTATTTAAGGAAATTCAAAATACTAGTTTGACTAGGAAATAGATCATTAAGGGTAGTAAAGGAATTTTAAGTAGGAGGGATATTGAGAGGGGGTATAAATACCCATCATATGCCTAAGGTGGAGTGCACCCAAAGGTAAACTCTCTCTCTCCTCTTATTTTCTTTTCCCCTTAATTTTTCCCCTTCCCCTTTATTTATTTATTTTATTTTAATCAGCACCACACACCACCACACACACCGGTCGGCCACCACACGCCACCACCGGCCGGCGGCCACCACCACCAGCCTTCACCGGCAGCAGCAGCCACCAGGCGGCGCGACAGCAGCCAGCCTAGGTGGTTGTGTGCGCCGGCGGTCTTTTAAAAAAAAATTATTATTATTATTATTATTATTGTTTTTGTTCTTAATTCAATCTAGCCTAAATCTAATTGTTGTTTTTTGGTTTTGTGATATTTTAGGATGTTCAATAATAAGTATTTTGTATATAAATTTTTAGGTTTAATTTTAATTTAAAAAGCCCCAAATTGAAAACCCTAGGTTTCTAAATTAATGTTTATGATAGAATTTGATTGTGGTTGATTAAGACTATTGAAATTAATGTTTTTAAACTAAATTACAGCAATTTTATAAGTTTTAATAATCCTGGAATTTTTATATATAAGCTATAATTATGTTTTTTGAAAGTATTCTTAATTAATTACTCATTAATTGGGAATAAAAATAAAGGTTTTAAATTAAATTTCAGATTATTTTAGAGGGTTTATGAGTGATTTAAAGAGAGTATATATTGCTGGAAATTTGTGTGGAAGAGGTATTAATACTTCTTTATAATTTTGGTTTGTAGGAGACTTTCAAGTGATTGATTTTATTTAGTCGTGGCGATGTTTAGATCGTATTCAAGGTACGTTCGCGTACTTAGTAATTATGTGGATATGTAGAGGCATGCTAGGCTTGTTTATTTCATTCCAGGTAGTATCATCATAGGTGTTGGTTGGAATTGTTTGATTTGGATTGATGTTGGTGAATAATTTGTGATGTACGAATTATTTGTGGTGAATTGGTGATTGGAATTAATTATGCTGGCATGTTGGTTATGAACCACGCTTTTATTATTGGCTTGTTAGAGAGCATGTTTAATTAAACTAAATGTTTAATTTGGTTTGGAGTATGAGAAGGAAATTTTATTATGGTTCATATAATTTTTATTGATGCTTTAAGCATGGAAATTGAGCTATTAAGTGTTTTAGTACACATGAATAAATTATATTGAGGTGCCTATGTGCACTTAAGGTGTTTCTAACGCCGAGGGATAGGATTTGCGGCGCATTATACGTTTAAGGTGTCTTTGACACTGAGGTAGATTAAAAAGGGTTCAACAATTAAATTTATGTGGACACTAATTATTCAAGAATTAAATTGGTATGTTTGATTGCTTGAATGATTTATTATGTTTGATTGTGCTATGGTTTGAGAGTCATCACCAAGTACGTAAACAACGTAAAGTGAAAGAAATTACACACCAAAACTCTTGGAACGTATATACCTTGAGTATGAATATATTGGGGGAATTATGGGGTTTTCTATTTAACCATGACTCTTACTGGGAGTATTGATAACTTGCTATTTGATACGATTTTAGGGTGTTTTGAACCTAGTTTACTTGATATAAATTGCGTTTTGGTTCATTTTTACTCTATTATTATGCAATTCTTGTGTATCCTATGCTTCACGGGTTGTTGGTGTTTTTGTTGAGATTCTAGGTTCAAAAGAACGACCAAATGGAGCCCATGGATACAAAGCCGAGGTTAGAAGCAAGAAGATGGATGAAAGAAGCCAAGGAAAGGAGCATTATAGAAGAAAAGATGAAAAAAGGGGTTTAGAAGACCCTGCACGGTTGTGCCAGACCTTGCACGTCCGTGCAGGATGTTCCAGAAAGCTTCAGCAAGCTGCCAAGGCCTGCACGGCCGTGCTTAATCTGGCACGTCCGTGCAGAAGAGGGTGCACGACCGTGCCAGACTTTGCACGTCCGTGCAGAAGTGCTCCAGAAACTCAGAACATTCTGCCAAGGCCTGCATGGACGTGCCAAATTAAGCACGTCCGTGCAGATGTAGCTGCACGTCCGTGCCAATATCTGCACGTCCGTGCGGAACTGCTCGATTCTTAGCAGTACGTTCTGCCTCCATTCTGCCCCCTCTGCACGTCCGTGCCAAACTTGGCACGGCCGTGCTTAGCCTTGCACGTCCGTGCCAAATCTGGCACGTCCGTGCAGACCTGCAGTCGAACTCCTTCCTTGTTTTCTCCGTCCTTTTTATTTGGGGGTCATATAAATACCCCTTTAGAGCTCATTTGTACGGGGGGAGGCAGTTTTTCAGAGCTTTTCTCTTAGTTTGTAGTCTTAGAACATTAAATTCTCAAATCATTAGTTAGTTCTCAATTATTAGCTTGGAATTATTCAAATTCAATCATTGTAGAAGACAAAATCCACCATTGTTGCTCACCTTGAAGCTTCATAGTAACCATTTCTTACTCATCTTTTCTACTTCTCTTTACCTTGTTGTTAATTATTTGCTAGTTCTTGCATGTTTTGGATTGTTAATTAGCTTAATCCTTAGTTTGAATTTGTTCATGAATTGCTTGAAATCTTTAATTGCTTTAACCCCCATGGATTGTGAGTAGTCTAAATTCTAGGGTTTGGGCAAAACCCTCAATGTAGTCACTAATTACTTGTTGCATGTGCTAATTTGGTTGTTGTGGGATGTTAATTAGTTGAGCTTAAGTGGTTTAATTGCTTAGTTCTTGTATATGGCCATTGCTAGAACTATTTATCCAAGCTTTCTCAACGAAGGATCGAGAGATGAACTTGAGTTAGCTCCCTTATGCTTGATTGACCCGAAATGCCATGAGAATAGGGATTACCGGTCAAGGGAATGTTTATGTCATCGTGATTATGCTTTAACACTTGTTTTATGCTATGTAACCACGAGAGTAGGTCGTATTCATGACTCAAGTAATCCCTCTAGCTTGAGAGAGTAGTTGGGTGCTTTAGATGACTTCCCCTAATTTATCCCATTAATTTACCTTGATTGTTGCATGCTAATTGTGATTTGTGATGAAGTTGAGTGGTATAACCCAAGCCCTAGATTCCTCTTAATATTGTTAACCTCCTCTTAGCTTAGTTGAATTGTGTTAGAAGAAGTTACTAAAAACCAACCCAATTTAGAATTCGTTTAGCTTATTTAAACGGTAGTACTCGGTGGTTGATTCAACGCCTCTCTTGGGTTCGACCCTTTCTTACCCTTACTATTGTTAGTGAGACCAAGATAGGAATTATTATCTTTGGTAGGCTCGACGACGGCCTATCAAGTTTTGGCGCCGTTGCCGGGGAGGCAAAGTCACATTGAATGTATTATTGTTGAATGAGACTAGATGTGTGTATATGTATAGTAGTTTTCTTACCTTAATTTTTGTTTATGTGTGTTTAAATTGCGATAGTCATTGCTAACGTTTTTCTTAGCTTTGTTTGACTTTGCATGACACGAAAGAGTAAGCAATCACCGCTTATTCCCGTTGATCCAGAGCTAAATAGGACTTTGAGAAACGTGAGGAGACTCTTGCAAGGCACACCCGAGTTTTCCATTGTATATTCGGATTCCGATCCGGAAGAGGTTTTTGGAACTAACGAAGAAGATAACATGGGAGAGAATCCTCCTCAACCATTGTTAAGAGACTATGACCACCCCAACGCATTCCAACTTCGGAGTGGCATACGTCTTCCCACCACAAATGCAAACAACTTTGAACTTTCACCTCAACTCATCCGTATGATTCAAAGCGATCAATTCGGAGGTAGTCCTCATGAGTGTCCTTTTGCTCATTTGGACAACTTTCTTGAGTTGTGTACAACTATCAAGCAAAACAACATTTCGGAAGAGTTCATCCGTATGCACATGTTTCAATTCTCCCTCCGTGATAAAGCAAAACATTGGTTGAGAACGGTTGAAGAGGGATCATTGAGTACATGGGACGAAGTCACTAGAGCCTTTCTTGGAAAGTATTGTCCTCCGGAAAAGACCGCCGAACTAAGAAGAAAGATCACCAATTTCAATCAAGACATTGATGAAACATTGAGTGAAGCTTGGGAGCGTTTCAAAGATTACACAAGGAAATGCCCCCACCATGGTTTTACATCATGGATCATTGTACAAAGCTTTTATGACGGTCTTACTCCTATTTCAAGGGCCAACCTTGATTCCGGGGCCGGTGGTAGCCTCAAAAAGCTATCGGTGGACGATGCATACAAGATGATTGAAGAAGTGGCCAAGCATTATGCATATGGAGGTGATAGAAGGCAACCTCAAACAAAGAAGGGCGGAATTCATGATCTTAGTGCAATAGATCTTATTGCATCAAAGTTTGATATGCTAGCTCACAAGCTAGATCAAGCCACCCTCACACCCTCAAGCTCTTCCTCGCAAGTCATGTCTTGTGAGACTTGTGGAGGAAATGATCACTTGTCCTCTTATTGCAACTCAACAAATCAAGAGCAAGCAGCGGAAATTGGGCAAAGGAATGAACAATACTCCCAATCCCACAATCAAAGTTGGAAGCCCCAACATAACACGGGATGGAAGCAATACAACCAAGGCCCCCCACAAAATAACTACAACCAAAATCAAACCCAACCTCAAAACCACTACAACCAACCTCAATCACAAAACCAACAAGCTCCATACCGCCATCCCAACCAAAGGGATCAAAACCACCAAAGATCACAATATAACCAACCCGCTCCTCCTCCTCCACCTCCTCAAAAGACTAGCCTTGAGTCCGTTCTTGAAACTTTCATGACTCAACAAATAAGGAACAATGCGGAGATGAATGCAAACATCCAACAACTCCAAGCACATAATAAGATAATGGAGGGCCAATTGGCTCAAATTGCACAACAAGTTGGAAGTTCATCCTCCAATCCTAGTGGTCACTTTCCAAGCACAACGGTAATGAATCCAAAAGAGCAAGCGAAATCAATCACCTTGATTATGGAAGGGGGGTATGAAACTCCAATTATGAGAGAAAATTTTGCCAAAAAGGGAGATGAGGGAGATAGTTGGGTAGATGAAAGTGAGTTTGAAAATGAAGTGAGTGAGGAGGCGAGAGGAAGGTCAAAAATGAGTGATGAGGGTGCCTCAAAGAGAGATGAGGGAGAAGTGAAGAGTCAAGCTCCATTGAGAGCATATGAGCCTCATATTCCATTCCCTCATAGAATGATAGAGAAGATGCTAAATGAGAAACTTTCTAAGTTCCTTGATGAAATGGAAGGACTTCAATCAAACATTCCACTTCTCCATGCTTTGTCTCAAATGCCTACATACGCAAAGTTTTTGAAAAATATTCTTTCTAACAAGAGTAGGCTTGAGGAGAGTGATTCTATCTCTCTTCCAACGGAGATAAGTGCTATTCCTCAAAATGAGCTTCCCGAGAAGTTTGGTGACCCCGGTAGTTTTGCTATACCGGTTAAGGTTGGAGATCTTGAATTAACAAATGCTTTGTGTGATCTTGGGGCTAGTGTTAGCCTTATGCCTCTCTCTATGGCAAAAAGATTAAATCTTGGGGAGATTAGCCCCACCAAAATGTCAATCCAACTAGCCGACCGCTCGGTTAAAGTCCCATTGGGAGTCTTGAAGGACATCCCAATTCAAGTGGGGAAGGTTCTTGTGCCTTGTGATTTTGTAATCATGGAGATGGATGAGGATTTCAAAATTCCTATCATATTGGGTAGGCCCTTTTTGAAAACCGCGGGTGTTAATATTGACATGAAACAAGGGCGACTTACCTTACATGTTGGGCATGAAAGAATCTCTTTCTCATTTCCGGAAACGTTGAATGACCCCATGGTTAAACAAGTTCATCGGGTTGATGTTTTGGTTAAAATTTTGAAAGAAGACATGGAGGAGTCACAAGATGAATCGACTCATGCTCCGGAGGTGAAAAAGCAAGAGAGGGCCAAGAAGAAAAAGAAAAACAAGATCAAGTTGATAGACAAGATGTTTGGTTGCATTTCTAGTGATGATAGCAATGTGATTATTTTGCCTAAGGAAAATGGCAAGTGTGTGGGAACAATGAGATGGGTCAAAAAGGTGTGCCTTGACCCTCCCTAATTTTGGATAGCGCAATTTCGTCAAGCTAGTGACGTTAAAGAAGCGCTTCCGGGAGGCAACCCGAATATTTTTGTAGTGGATTAACTTAAAAAAAAAAAAGAAAAAAACAAAAGAAGAAAAAAAAAAAAAAAAAACAGCACAAAGTGCATGTCTTCCAACAACAACCAACAGGAACAAAGGTACCAAGGAGGTTCAAGCGTCGAAGAAGACCCGATCCTTGAGTTAGTCTTCTTTCTCCTTTTTTTTTATGAGCTTTTATTGCTTAACATTGAGGACAATGTTTATGATAACTTGGGGGGAGTCATTTGCATGCCTTCTTGACATGTTGGTTTGTTTGGTTGCGTTTGTTTTGGTTGTTTCATTTCCCTAATATCCAAGACCCTTAATCCAATTTAGCTTCCTTGAAATCCAAATCTCTTGTCATGTGAATATTAGTGTTCCCTCTCTAGTTAGTAATGTGAATATTTTCGCTTTCTCTTCAAAAAAAAAAAAATGATGAAAAAATTGAAAAATGAAAAAAAAAAAAATTTCCCAAGGTTGAGACTCAAATGACAATGCTTATATGTTTTTCTTGCTTGACTCTTGAGCGATGAGTACTAGTTTTCTTAGAAGGGTGTATGCAAGAGATGGGGTCATTTAGAGGTCTATTAATCTTGATTGCATTAGTGTATATGAAATGAAAGCCAATGAATGCTCAATTGCACACCCAGTATAGGATATTGTCTAATTCGCTCAAGTAGGATATGTTTGAATTGAATTGCGGTCCCTTGTGCCCTTAATGTGCCTCCCTTCCTCCCCGAAATGAAACTCTATTAGGGAATTGGTTATACTTGTATTATGTGTAATAAGTGGCATAATAAGCCACACGTTTCGAATAAAGAAAGAGCCGCTCACAGTTAAAAGAGGCGAGGGCAATAATGTAAAAAAAAATGAGAAAAAAAAAATAAAAAAAATAAATAGAAAAGAAGGGAGAACAAAAAAAAAACTCCCCCAAAAATTCTCAAAATTTTGATTTTCTTTTCTTTAGAGGTCAACTTGTGGATGCCTCCCACACATTGTCGAATTTGTTGCTTATTGTTTCTTGTGAAATTCCCGAGTTAGAGTGTAATTAAGGGGCCTTGGGTGTGCATTTTGGGAGGTGGACTAGCATTTTGAGATTTTATAACCGAAAGAGGGCTCATTACAACTTTGGAATATCTAGGTGTGCTCTAATGAACTAGTAAAAGGTCTAAAGAATTATCCTAGTGCAATCTTGCTTAGTCCTCCTCTTTACCCCCAACTCATGTGCACATTTGTATGATTGGTAATTCTTGAAAGTCGCTCATTTGTCTTGCTTGCGATTTATATCTCGATGAGTTGACCTGGGTGATAATAACATCGGAACTTGTGTAGTTTGATAGTTTTGTTGTGGTTTGTGTGAGTTGTGGGTTAAGCTCAATGGAAACCCTCACGAGATAAAAACTCGTCCTCTAAGGCGACTTAGAGGTTTAAATTGCTTCTCACTTGTGCTAAAAGTGATGATGGCTGTCACCATGCGGATTTGTGTATTTATGCTTCCTCCTTGTTGCCTTTCCTTGGATTGATGTTAGCAAGTCGTTTTCCTCCTTTGATTCGACATGTTTGTTTTGCTCGAGGACGAGCAAAAGCTTAGCTTGGGGGGATTTGATAACTTGCTATTTGATACGATTTTAGGGTGTTTTGAACCTAGTTTACTTGATATAAATTGCGTTTTGGTTCATTTTTACTCTATTATTATGCAATTCTTGTGTATCCTATGCTTCACGGGTTGTTGGTGTTTTTGTTGAGATTCTAGGTTCAAAAGAACGACCAAATGGAGCCCATGGATACAAAGCCGAGGTTAGAAGCAAGAAGATGGATGAAAGAAGCCAAGGAAAGGAGCATTATAGAAGAAAAGATGAAAAAAGGGGTTTAGAAGACCCTGCACGGCTGTGCCAGACCTTGCACGTCCGTGCAGGATGTTCCAGAAAGCTTCAGCAAGCTGCCAAGGCCTGCACGGCCGTGCTTAATCTGGCACGTCCGTGCAGAAGAGGGTGCACGACCGTGCCAGACTTTGCACGTCCGTGCAGAAGTGCTCCAGAAACTCAGAACATTCTGCCAAGGCCTGCATGGACGTGCCAAATTAAGCACGTCCGTGCAGATGTAGCTGCACGTCCGTGCGGAACTGCTCGATTCTTAGCAGTACGTTCTGCCTCCATTCTGCCCCCTCTGCACGTCCGTGCCAAACTTGGCACGGCCGTGCTTAGCCTTGCACGTCCGTGCCAAATCTGGCACGTCCGTGCAGACCTGCAGTCGAACTCCTTCCTTGTTTTCTCCGTCCTTTTTATTTGGGGGTCATATAAATACCCCTTTAGAGCTCATTTGTACGGGGGGAGGCAGTTTTTCAGAGCTTTTCTCTTAGTTTGTAGTCTTAGAACATTAAATTCTCAAATCATTAGTTAGTTCTCAATTATTAGCTTGGAATTATTCAAATTCAATCATTGTAGAAGACAAAATCCACCATTGTTGCTCACCTTGAAGCTTCATAGTAACCATTTCTTACTCATCTTTTCTACTTCTCTTTACCTTGTTGTTAATTATTTGCTAGTTCTTGCATGTTTTGGATTGTTAATTAGCTTAATCCTTAGTTTGAATTTGTTCATGAATTGCTTGAAATCTTTAATTGCTTTAACCCCCATGGATTGTGAGTAGTCTAAATTCTAGGGTTTGGGCAAAACCCTCAATGTAGTCACTAATTACTTGTTGCATGTGCTAATTTGGTTGTTGTGGGATGTTAATTAGTTGAGCTTAAGTGGTTTAATTGCTTAGTTCTTGTATATGGCCATTGCTAGAACTATTTATCCAAGCTTTCTCAACGAAGGATCGAGAGATGAACTTGAGTTAGCTCCCTTATGCTTGATTGACCCGAAATGCCATGAGAATAGGGATTACCGGTCAAGGGAATGTTTATGTCATCGTGATTATGCTTTAACACTTGTTTTATGCTATGTAACCACGAGAGTAGGTCGTATTCATGACTCAAGTAATCCCTCTAGCTTGAGAGAGTAGTTGGGTGCTTTAGATGACTTCCCCTAATTTATCCCATTAATTTACCTTGATTGTTTCATGCTAATTGTGATTTGTGATGAAGTTGAGTGGTATAACCCAAGCCCTAGATTCCTCTTAATATTGTTAACCTCCTCTTAGCTTAGTTGAATTGTGTTAGAAGAAGTTACTAAAAACTAACCCAATTTAGAATTCGTTTAGCTTATTTAAACGGTAGTACTAGGTGGTTGATTCAACGCCTCTCTTGGGTTCGACCCTTTCTTACCCTTACTATTGTTAGTGAGACCAATATAGGAATTATTATCTTTGGTAGGCTCGACGACGGCCTATCAAGTATAGGACGGTGTATTTTCCTTTTTATTGTTATTATGCGCAGGACGTCCAGTCGCTTTATGTGACATTTGCCTACCCGGTTAGCTCTCGGTGTAGTTTACCTCAATTTATTTGAGGCAGGGATTTGGTTGGAAACCCGTTCGATGTGTAATCAAAATTAAATAAAAAAGAATTGTATTGGTCTAGTTAGGTGTTGAATGTTTTATGTGCTTGTAAACAGGGGCAACACGGTAAGTTGTGTGTTATTAGGATGAAAGCATGTTAGTGTGTTTTATTACGCTTATGTACTCAGCTTTGCTGATTTTGTGTTTGTATGTTCACTACTAAAAATCCCGTCCTTTTGAGACGCCTTTTTTCATTATTTACGGCATTGAAAAGCGTCGTTTTTTTTCTCGACGTTGTATAAAAGCGTCGAGAAAAAGTGAGTCGAGAAATTCGCGACGCCTTTTCATGTCACAAATCTCGACACCCTTTTTATCCCAATACTTTGTGACGCCTTTAACTGTCTTCAATATCGACGCTTATTAATGTCTAATAAAATATGCCAACCGTCGAAAATATCGGTATTCAAGCACCACCACCAAATTTCTAGACGCTTTTTCCCGTCCATATTGTCGATGTTGTTTTTAGTCCCAAAATCAATTGAGACGCTTTTTGTTGTCCACACAAAAATAGTGGCGGGAAATTTTGAAACTGATTATAGCAAAATTTCTTGACAAGAAAAAGCGCTAGACATTTTTTTACCGTTTTTTTTTATATAATTTAAATAAAAGTTCTTTCAAATAATTTTTTGTTTTTGGTTAATAAATAAATTTGTATTGCCAAAGAAATCTGCAAAGCAATAAAAAAATTTCTTTACGAAACCAGCCACCAAAGCAAAAAAAATACCAAAATCAACATCAACAAGTATCCAAAACAACCGACAAAAAAAAAAAAAAAAAAAAAAAAAAAAAAAAAAAAACCCAACATGGCAACAAAGGCAGCAGCTAGACCAAGCAACAACTTGAAAGCAGCAAGAAAGGCTTCAAGGCAACACCCAAGCAGAGAAACCAGCAAGGAAGCAGCTGCAAAATATCACCCAAGCTCAAGATGGTAGCTGCGAGCAGAGAAGATCAGACCAACAACAACCACCATTAAAAGCCAGCAGCAGCAAAACCACGAGGCAACAGCAGCCAAACTAGCAGAGAGGAAGGCAGCAGGCATGAGGGTCAGCAGCCAGCACAACAACCAGAACAGAAGAATAGCAGCTCAGACTAAGCAACTTCAGAAGAACCCAGGCATTAGTAGCTAGCAGGCAAAGCAAGGGCAGGAAGCAGGCGAAGGGCAGGAACAGCAACCCATATTCTAGTCAGCAAGTAGCAAATCTCAGAAAAATGGGCACATCAGCTAGCAAATTAACAGGCAGTTTAGCGGCAAACCAAGCCACTGCCAAAAGGCAGCAGCAAAAGAACCAGGCAACATCAACAAGATAGCAGCTGCAACCAAAGGGCAAAGGAAATGCTGAGTATAATAGGCTCAGCCACGTGAACAACACGAAGCACACTACCAGCAAGGTATAAAACATTTATAAAATGAATAAAGTTTCTGTCAAAATTAACGAACAAAAAAGAGTTGAAATCCAATCCCTGGCCTACATACTATCACTAATGGATCAAAAAAAACCTAGCCATGTCCAAAATATCATCATTATTATTACATATATCAACTGCCAACTAAATTAAAAAATTAGATTGAAGCCTACATAAGTTAACTACTATCTAACTAACTATAAACAAATTAAATGAAGGTGCATAGTAAACTAATTTCCAGCTTCAGTAGGTTCCCTTTGTTTTCCTGTTGCATTCATAAACCTTAAAAAAAATTAATAAGTATATAATATTTAATTGTTAGAAGAAATACAGGGGTAAAAAAATTATCTGAAGGAATGCAATGGTATAAGCATATTTTTTGATGAGTTTGGTACTTGCAAAGCATTTATAAAGAAAAATGATGAAATAAATGGCAAAGTAAAATTTTTCATAAAAAATAAGATACAACTTGGGAAGCAAGCGCGCAAAGGCCTGTGAAGTCTAGAAGGCCACATTGCCACTGCACACTTTTTCCACACATGCAAAAATCTAAGACACACGTACACTACCATACATAAACCAAATACACACCACATATTTTTACACCAACACAAAAGTCATGAGCATCATCAATTGGCAGCACAAAAGCTAAGACGTATGTAAGATAGACAGTTACCAACAAATATAAACACTAAAGTTACCAACAAATTGTTTGACGCGAGTAGGAATACCAGCCCTCCTGATCATAAGAACAGGGAAAAGAAATAGTCAGCTTATGCTCGATCTCATCTGTACTATTAGACAGTGCATATGCACCAAAACCTTAAACATTACAAATAAGAATAGATACAAAAGATTGACCCGGAGTCATGGGAACATTGTCACCATTGTTTTTCTGCAAATAAGTTCAAACAAAGAAATATGCTTTGACACTCTTATATTGCTTCAGAGTGTCAGTATATGCTCAACCATCTCCATCCAACAAAACCTATAAAATACAAGTTTGTGTTGCATTTAATTTTTAGTTCTTACATATAATGAGCAAGTGAACGTTACCTAACAAGCTGATGATCCCATGAAATTTCGTTAATATGCAAAACTCCAAAGAATTATGACATGGTTAAGTGTTGCTTCAATATATATAATCAAAATTTTTCAATGTAATTACCTTCATTAGAAGGATCTGTACACAAGCATACTTGTTATCCCAAGAGAACATCTTGACTGAATTACCAATTCCACCTAAATTGGCTGCATTGATTAATCACCCAATACAACAATTCTCAGTATTAGGAACTATGAGATTATAACCAACATTTATTTTGATGATGACTGAGCATTTGCAGATCCATTTTCCTCCCCATAAGGCTTATGGGCCTTTTGATAGAGTCATAAAAGTATATTATATTTTATTTCATTAAACTCTCAATTTTATATTGATATTTAATGGTTTAATGATATATTAAGTAATTTTCTTTCGGAAGCACGTACTACTACTATTGTATTTATTTGTGTTTAGGAAAGAAAATATTGGCACAAATTGCATATTACGACACTCCGGTTAAGAGAAGCAAAGTTTACAAGCCCATTGACTCTCAACTATTTCAAACCCAATGTTGTTTTATTGTGTAAGCTATTACAGTTGGGCCTTGAAGTATAACAAGCTGTCACACAACATATTAGAAAGAAGAGAGCAGCTCAAACTCTTGATTGTCTCACTGTTCTTGCGGGTAAGCCAAAGAGTAAATCCCTTGAGCGAGATTGACGGTTATCAATTTGTCAAGCAATAAAAGATAGAGATGAAATCAGATAAGGATGAGAGCGTTCGGGATCAAAGATTTCCGGTGATAAGATTGGGATGCCGAATTGGAAGGAGACGACATTTTTTTTTAAGATGGGAAGATTTACATAATTTTGGGCTGTTTTTGGGGTACCAAATCAGAGAGGAGAGAAGCTAAATTGCATGATAGAGGAGGCATTACTATGGGCAGCGAATTCAGCCACAAACCAGAAAATAAACTCAGTACAGCAGCGGAGAGCAGTAGCGGTGAAGTAGGTAGTTTACCTGGGTGCTAGCTGTTCGTGGCTGTTCTCGCATTTTCCATTCTAGAAATTGGTACTTTGAATTTAACTGTTAGTTTGCAGTTTTGCATGTAATACTTTAGCAGTTGATGAATTGGTTCAATTAAGTAATAGAATTTGCTAGTTTATTTTTGTTTTCTTTGTTCCGTTTTTATCATGTTAGGTGGTAGTTTCAAGTATTGTTGAATTCGTTTATAGTTGTTGACTTTCATTTTCTTATATTCTTTAAGCAATATGATTTATATATCTTCCATTGTTTTACATTCAGTACGTGATATGTTAGTCTAGATTATTAGTGGGTACGGAGATATATTATACATTGGATTATTGTGTTGTGAGAATAAGAATGCGGGTAATTTGACAGTAGTATGTTTATTTCTTGATTGGATTGGTATTCTGTTTTATTGGTATGAACTATCAGATTATATTACAAACCGACCATCTTTAGTATAATTTGTTAGTTTAATTGCTAGAGTATTATATTGTGATTCGTAATTGTCCGGGTTAGTACTCCTTAGTAGCACTTAGATATTTGATAGGTGACTAAAACTTGTCCGATGCCTATGATTACCAACCCTTTAAGTTGCACGAATCCGAGCTTGTGAGATTTGTGGCTTAAGTTAGCTACTTCCTAATTATTAATGCTGCTAATTAATCGAGTCTAGAGAGCTTGTTCTAGATTGTTAGTTAGTTTGACAATATTCCAAGAGCTTGTTTGGTTTATTTGCAATTAAGGGAAGTTTTGAATACTAGTTGGTGTTCATTAGTTAACATCAAGATATATGCATGATTTATGTAATTCGATGAACAATTGGTATTCCAATGTTATAATATATCTCCCGATCCTATTTTGTCATTCTTGATTTTTAATATTAATTCTTACTGTTAGTTTTACATCTCCGTACTTAACTTATTTTCAAGTCTGTAGTTTTATATATAAGATCGTAATAGTCATTCTTCAAATCAGGGGTTTCCAGCACACACAAGTAATAATTTGATAATCTAATTCTCTGTGGGATCGACCCTAACTTACCCTATTACATTTTTAGGAGGTCAGAGTTAGGTTTATTTTTGGTAGACACGCGACAGTCGTACCACCTTTCTTGCACTATCTTGAAAACTTCGACTATAAGTTTAAGGATTAATAGCATTTTTAATCCCAACTTTCACCACTTTATTTTTATTAATCCCAACTTTGGATTATTCCTCAATAATCCCAACTTTGATATGGTCTATCATTCTTCATACCCAAACCGGTTAACAAAAGTCAATGACCTAATTTTCTAGGTCACTTGACACGTGTCAAGCTGTCAGTGGTCCAAAAAATAAAAAAAATAAAAAAAAATCAATTAACAAAAAAAGAAAAAAAAAACAAAACCAGCCACCACCAGCCCACAACCACTGGCGGTGGCCCTTTCCTCCATAGCCAACCCTAAACCACTGCCTTCCTAGCCCCAACCCCAAAAACCTCCCCAAAAACCGCACTAACCCCGCAAAACCGGCCCCCTCTACCTCCCCTCACCCCCTAAACCAGCCATAGCCAAACCCTTGCGCCGGAACCGTCACCCATAAAACCCGAAACCACCCACAACCAAAGCCCACGTCCCTGAAACCATCCCATCCCCACCCGAAACCACTTGTAAACCCTCGAAATCACCTCCCCCACCCCCGAAACCACCTGTAAACCCTCAAAATCACCGCAGCCTGCTCCCTTTCTCTCTCCTCTAATTGCCGGATAACGCAATCAAGGGGAGTGATGGGAGGGTTTCCGATGCAAGGAGGGTTTTCGGCAGGTCGGAAAGTGGGGTTGGGGGGTTTTGGCAGGTCAGAAAAGTGGGGTGTAGGTCTCTAAGGAAGTGCGGCCACCAGCCACCCAACGCTGGTGGTCTTTGGTTTTTTTTTTAATTTCCTTGTTTTTTGTTTTTTAATTTAAATTAATTTTTTTGTATATTTTTTAACCAATTAGAGTGCAACACGTGTCATATAAATTGTTTTAAAAAAAATTTGACCCTTTCTTCAGGTAACCAGTAAACCCGATTGAAGAAAGAAGACGCAGGTGAAAGTTGGGATTATTGTAGATAATCCAAAGTTGGGATTAATAAAAATAAATTGGTGAAAGTTGGGATTAAAAAATGCTATTAATCCTAAGTTTAAAGCTCTATAATGGGTAACATTGGGAGAAGATATATACAATATCTTGATCTTAGAAGATATCTAGAGCTCTTTGATTTTTTATAGAGTTTTGAAAACTGCATTTTATAAAAATTAAATAAAATACCTGTTGATTCAGGGGCATGTAATCAATACCTAGAAGTTCCAGTCTGGGATGCTGAGAATCACCATTGTTGCAATCTACATGTTAAACCGAATAAATTTATATAAAAAAAGGCAAATGAGCAGCAATTTCTTTTTTCCTTACTGTGTAACTAAGGATGAAACAAATGAGAGATAGAAACAAATGTGCTGAAAAAGCAGGAGAAAATCATCCATTCAAAACAACAAAAAACAAAAGCAGCTCCTACTTTTCATTGCTAACAGAGATAGATTAACCAATACAAAACAGAATGGAAAAAGTTGTTGGATAATATCTTCAGATTTGTATATACAAAACCACAACAGACAACATAAATGTGAGAAAAAGTCCTCGTAAAGAAAAAAATAATTCTCTCTAGTTCTAATTTGACAGCCAAAAAAAGACTTTGATAACGATTTATATAGTGTATAAACAACACTGAATCCAAATACTAGAATTTCATCATGCTTATTCTTTCTACAATTTTGATGGCAACCAATCACCAATTTATTTTTATTTTTTTTTTTATTATTTTTTTTAATCTATTAACAGTTTAAAACTCAATCTATAGAAAAGTTTCACTGCAAAACCCTAGCTGGGCAACAACAACAGTAGAGCATAATTTACTAGTTTGTGACAAAAATCAATGAAAATGCAAAATCTAACCCAAAAAAATCTAAATTGCAACAACAATGCTTCAAAACCACCAAATATACTCAACATAAACAAAAATAATCCAGAAAACTTCTACCAGATTAACCAAAACATAAACCTTAGAAAATTCAACTAAAATTTCAAACTCAATATACACTCAAAAATCAACAAAATTACAGAAAACAATTCAAATAAAATAACTAAAAATTCGAGGAAAAAACCTCTCCGGCCAGGCATTTGCTTCTGCTTGGATCTACTGCTTTGACCACAGGAGATTACACATCAAGCTAATTTAACATTTAAAAAAATATAAACATCTTTCGGTTTCAGCAATGTTAGAGACGAACAAAAATTTAGAACCCTAATTACATAATTCAGACGAAAACAAATTTAGTAGAATAACTTACACCGTGGCTAGATTAGCATCACCGTTTACCATGGCCTGAGCGTAGTCATTCGTCGTAAATGTCAGTGGTGTGGTGGTGGAAATCGATTGAGAGGGTTTGAGAATGACTTTAAAGGTAAATGTCAGAGTGAAATTAAACCCTTAAGTTGTGAAATTGATATTCGGTGATTTTAATGGTAAAACATCATACCTCAGAAGCTGCTTCAATGGAGGAGAGAAAGCTTCGGAAGCCGCTTCAATGGAAAATTCAGAGTGGACAATACTCTGACATTGATGCCTCATAAGCAACCTAATTTGAGTGATATATCAACCAAAAACTACGAAATTGATGCCTATAACAAGGAAACTACGGAAAATTGATGACAAGAGCGAGGGGATTACCGATAATTGAAGATAATACTGAAGAGAGGAATGAAAATTCAACAATTTCAAGCGGTTTAGGAGATCAGATGAGATCGATCGTAAGCATAGAAAAGTTAGGGTTTAGTTGTGGGAAAGTAGTGCTGATGAGAACTAAAGGTTGTGGGCTGTAGAATTGTGCTGATGAAAAAGCCTGCTTATTTTTTCCCTAAAATTTTGAAGTCCCAGGATGGATTTTAGTCACGTGCAGTAAGGAATGTTAATTTTCGACGCTTTCTGTGTGAAGACCCAATTGTGACGTATGTAGAAAAGCATCGAAAAAACACAGAAACTAAATTTTATGCTAACGCTTGTTACCTGGCGTCGAGCAAACAACGTCTGGAAACTAAGGGATTTGTAGTGGTGGTTTGTTTGGCCTTGTCTTTACCTTAGCCCTACAACGACCCATTTCTAATGGCGAGTAGTGGGGAGAAGTAGAGAGAAGCTTTTCAGGTGATGAAACATATTCATGAAGGGGCATGAGTGAAGAGCGAATCATGCTTAGTTCTCATAGGAATATGATGTGTTTTATCTGCTTTAAATATTATTTATTTTATTATGATCATGGGACTAACACAAAGGTTTTAAATATTGATTGGGTTTTAAGGGCCTACAATGGTTCCAAGTTGTAGGTTGACTTCGTTTGACTTTGTTTGACTTTTACTTTTGTTTGGTTTGACTTTTTCAAGTTGATTTGTTTTAAAATGGTTTTAAAGGTAGTCTTCCGCAGTGTGTGAGTCTTTGATATTTGCCTTAGCCGTTTTCACGGTGGCGGTAATGTCTTAGATTTTCCTATTTCGTATTTTTAAAAGGGTAAAATAGGTATTTTAACGGGAAGAAATTTCTAATCATTACTTAGTTCTAGGTATTTCACCTCATCAACTCAGACAAAAGGACTAATATTCCACATAATTATGCAACAAATCACACATGATGTAATACCCCGTATTTTTGAGATGTATTCTCTAATTAATTAATTAATTAGTATTTTCTAAAAATGGTATTTTAGTAAATCATTTTCTATTTGAATTTGGAGCCAAAATGATATTTGAATTTTGGCGCCAAAAACATTTTCAAAATTAATTATAATTTTTGGATTTTGGATAAGATTTATTATCCATTTATTTTATTTCAAAATCCGGATTATATATATATTTCGGATATTTTAATTAAGCAAAAATTATATTTTTCTATTTACTTAAAATGGCCGAATTTTCCTAAGTTAATTAGCTAGGATTTTCGGATTTTCTTAGTGAAGAAAATCTGATTTTCTTAGTTAATTTAATTAGTGATTAGTTGATATTTTTCTAATTAATTATTTTGTACAAAATATATTATTTACACAATTATTTTTTATTCCTCAAAATCTAGCAATATATTTCCTAAAATATAGCTATGAGGTCTGAAAATATGAGCTTAGGAAGGCTCAATATTTTCGGACACTTCATGATAATTTTAGGTTAATTATTTTGATAGTTTTGTATTTTATTCATCTTCCTTAAATTCCATATTTCCTTAATTTCTTTTTTTCCATCTCACAAAGATTTGATCATGGAATTTATTTGCCTTAAATCATTCTTGATTATTCCCCAAGCAAAGCCATTTACCATTTAGTATTTCATGACTACATACTTACCTTATTTCTTCATTTCTTAATCACCATAAACTAGACTTTTCTAAATTCTTTAACTCTCTTTTCCAAGTAATTCCTTAAATTAAATTTACCATAATTCTTCCTACAAATTTTACCTTAATTCTTTCATTCATGAGCCTATAAATAACCCCTTATACCTCTCATATTCTTCACACCAAAAACTCAATTCTCTTCTTCTCTCTTACTCTTCTTTTTTTTCAACCTTTTCCTACTTTTCCTTTCCTCTTTTCTAAAAGAAAATCAGCCCGTATATCTTTGGAGCCAATTTTCGAGCACTTTTGTTCAGTTTTGGGGTTTTTCTATTTCACAAAAAATTGTTCCTCTCAAAAAATCCTTGAGGTTAGGCTCAAGAATCACCCAATTCGGAGTTATTGAAGGAGTTATAGCCTATGCAAGTTCTGCCTATTCTTTTCAACGCAAATTCAGTTCTCTTTAATCCTATTCCTTTAACTTCTTCATTGTTAGTTTACTAAAATATAAATACTTATTTCAAAGCTATACTTTTATATTAAAGTATTATTTTTAAAAGAGTTTTATAGTCCATGCACATTAGATTTGAGTTTATGTCTAAAGATGTTGTGATAACTTTATGGTTATGTTAATTGCAAGGTGTATTCGTGATTGAACTTTGAAAGTACGAAGTGTTGATTGAGATTCGGAATCAAGGTACGTTTAGGTGTCTAGATACCTTTGAAATTGATTGAATGAATAAGCATGTTTGAATGATTTTAATTAAATTGATTTGAATTATGATTTATGAAATAAAGTATGTTTTGAAGAAATTGGTTTTAATAATAAGTTTGAAGGAATGATTTTTATCATGTTTTGAATGATTAAATTATTTATCATGTTTTAAAAAGGTTTGATTTTGAAAGCATGTTAAATTAAATAAAAATGAGTTTTGAGTTATTTATTATAAAGCTTGGACTTATTGAATTAAAGAGGTTTAATTGAATTATTATTATTATTATTATTATTATTATTATTATTAAAGCTTTACAAGCATGTTGATAGTAATCCCACTATGCGGATTTGTTTGATAAGACTTCGGGCTTTGTACGACCGAATCTTTCCTCAAAAATAGCCTTGCAATATAAGAAGACTAGCTTGGGGGGTGTGCACACTTGACTAAGGAATTGGATTTAAAAAGAGGAATTGGTTTATTAATTATTTTATTGAAATATTGAATTATTGGAATTGGTTTTGAATAGTGAATTTGGATTATTGGATTAATTATTGGAATTGATTTTAAAAGCATGTTTGCAAATAAATTGAGTTTACTTATCTTGCACTTATCGTACTTAGCATATTTTGCTAATTCGTATTTCCTATTTGTTTTGGTTCGCCCTGTTTACCTTATTGGTAAGCAGTGTTGACTATTTTCAGGTGGAGTTATGAATGAGTGATAAGTGTCATTTATGACACATTTTAGGGCGTTTTTTTCCCTTAGTTTTAGGTTTATTCGGTGTTTCTTTGTTATTTCTAGTATGTTTAGTCTTATTTTAGTTAATATTGTCTTATTTTATGTTTTTAGGCCTTGTGAATAATATGCTTTTCGCTTGGTTTCTAGCTTGATTTGCGTGTTTTTCTATGTGCTCCTTCACTCTTTCCTCTCTTTGTCTTTTTGTGTAGGTGCTGGCGCTTTCTTCGATATTTATGACCCGAGAGAAGGACGGAAATTTCACTAGAAGAAGCTTTGAAGCAAAGAGAGGTTAAGAGACAAGCACAAGAAGCTTTATGCTATTTTCTCAAGCACCAAAAGAAGGCAGCAAGCAGCACCTAAAGCAGCATCACTGCGTTAGCAAGGAGCACCACAGCCAGCGACAGCAAGCAGCAAGGCCACCGCGGGCACGACTGCTCCCTTTTTCTAGCCTTTGCAAGTTCCTGGAGATGCCTTGGAGAAGCTGCCACCGCGGGCGCGGCTTTCTGGGTGTTTTTCGATCTTAATTTCCGGATTTTCTTGTTTCTCTTCTTGTAATATAAATAGAACAATTTCTTTTGGGTTCTTTAAGCAAGTTTTTACATTTTCTCTCTTATCTAATTAGGATTAGGCTTAGATTAGGAGTTTCTCTCTCTAGTTTAGGAGTAGTTTTAGAGAGAGAAATCTTGGGATTTCAATGGAGATTTGAGAGCTTGAAGAAGCAATTTTGTGGATTCTCTTCTCATCTAATCAATGAGCTTTTCTAACTTTCTCTCACTTTTATTGCTTTGTTTAATTCTTGTTTTTGCTTAATTCTTTGTTGATTAGAGTAGATAATTAGTTTACTTGTTTGATTCTTGCTTCAATTCTTAATTTACCTTGTTTTCTATGTTTTTCTTCATTATGTTTGCTTAGATTTTGTTCTAGGGAAATGGATGAAGGTTATGTTAATGAATTGAGTGATTGATTGTGATTAGTATCCAATTAATTCTTGATTATTGTTTATGGATGATGCATGCTTACATTGATTAGAATCTTTTTAGCTAATTGATTCTAGATTTTTAATTGTGCTTTCAATCAATTGTGCGGAAGTGAGTTGATTGAGAGTCTAGATTCTTACATGCCTATGCTAGGCTAGTTGCACGGGAGTAAATTAGCTTAGTAGGTTAATTAGTGTTTCGGGGTTTTCTGATGTCCTGCGGGAGAGTTACAATTCCGAGACTGGAACCGGACGCCTGTACCTGCAAAACAAACGGATGCTCCGGATGGTTGGAGATCCGCCTCCGACGGTCAAGTTAGTACTTGATTAAGGAGTAATTAATGCGGAAATTAAAGTGATTGAGTCTCTCTAGGTGAGAGTGTTTAATGTGTGTAATCTGCGTTGTTCGCGTAATCTCCCTTAATGAGGATTAAGGGAGGTATTTATAACCTCGGGAAACGTGCCAATCTAGGTTTAGGTTAATCTTGGGCTGATTGGGCTTCCCTCGGAAGTTGGGCCTAGGTGACCGGCTTCTCCATTAGGCATGGAGTATGCCACGTGTCATGACATAATAAGTCCAGTGGTGGACGAATAAGCGTGTGCCACGTGGAAAGCCCTGAGATGTCAAACTAGGGGACACTTGACAGGACCTGATTGGCCCACGTGGCGCATTTCGATTGGTGGGAGCAAAATCCCCTAATCATTTGCCCCTCACAGGTGGCACGTGACTGGTCACGTGTTACTTGTGACAGGTTTCGCCCTGTAACAGGCGACGGCCTGCTACAGGTGTCACTCGGCGAGAGGCCGAGAGATTCTTCCGCCAAAATTTTGAATTCTGGAAGTGACCCTTCGCCTTCTCACTTCGCCTATATAAAGGAGTGTTGACTTCGGTCATTTTCACACTTGAAAACTTTGTGAGAGAACATTCGGACCCCTAAACTTGCTCTAACATTTTGGACCCTTTCTGCCTACCGCCTGCTCTGACAAGCCGACTGCAAAGGATTTTCAGAATTTCATCAATCGTCACTCGTTCAGGTAACCGTCGGTTCTCTTACTCTTAATTTTCTCTTTACTTTATTCTTTTTTGAAATGGCACCACGGAAGCACACGACACGACCTAGGTTAGTGATCAGCCGGTCACCGGGGACGGCTGAATCTAGGACTAGGAGTG